ATAGTTTACTTTTTAGTCGAGTGTCGTTGTTAGGCTTCCTTTTTAAACATAAAAAACGAAAACAGTAGAGATGCTGAGATTAAAAGTTGGATGAATCTTTAACTTTTTAATATTTATTGCAGAAGACACGTACTGCAAAATCGAAGTTCTTGACCAACAAGAGGTTATTGTTCGATTGATGGACACGTGTTATAAGGTATGGATAATAAGAAGTCGATAACGTGTCTCTGTCGAATATATGTGTGAGTGTGTGTTGAGGTTATTGTTCGATTGATGGACACGTGTTATAAGGTATGGATAATAAGAAGTCGATAACGTGTCTCTGTCGAATATATGTGTGAGTGTGTGTTGAGGTTATTGTTCGATTGATGGACACGTGTTATAAGGTATGGATAATAAGAAGTCGATAACGTGTCTCTGTCGAATATATATGTGTGTTGTTTATATACATATATGTGAAATAATTAACTTATTTTACTTTTATTTATTCATTTGTTATGTTAGCAGGGTGCGCATCACAGTACTCTAAACCATTGGGCTGCGCTAAGCCTATAACTTATCACAGATTTTATGTGCTAACTTAACACATGATATTTTAAATTTTATTTTATATTTTATCAAATACAATAACCTGTTCGGAAATAATGTCCTTTATTTCATTTTAAAAGTAATCAAAAGAAACCTTTTAACACAACTTATAGCTTCTTCTTTGAGATGGAAATTCACACATTTTTGTTTTCTACAATCGCATCCTTTCTTTCCACGTCGCTGTTTCTTTTCCAGAGACAGTGATACAAGTATATGTCTGGTTGTCAGGTATAATTATTACAGAAATATTAATGTCTCGGAAGGTTTACGTGTGATAGTGAAGTGTGACCCGCCACTGTTCTTAAACCCCTTAAACCTGACTATATAAAAAGAATACAGTTCTTACGTTGAATGATACTGCACAGCTCGCATTATGAAGACATGAAATGTTAGCGAAACGTTTATATCACCAACCATTGCTATATGGCCCTCGTATAAATGTATGGATTACCATATTTTCCAGAAGTGCGAAAAACAATTTGAAGAAAATTATACATTTCAAATTTTATTATATATTCTGTTAGTTAAAAGTTGGATAGTTGAATTATGTACATTGAAACTTCATTAATTTTGGTTAATTATAATAGTGGGTGCACTGTATATGTAATGTATACTGGCATTAATTATATATGTCTATACTAACATGAGAAATATAGCAAAGAAGGTATAAAAATGTTAAGTTTAGTCTAAGGTTTGTAACCTGTAATTACTAAAGTGTTAGTAACAGTTTATAAAAAAAACACATATTACTAAGAATTCATATCTGTGAAATATATATGTGTTTCCGATAGGAATTCAATACTCTAGATGGCAGTGACTTAGTTTGATATATGTAACATCAAACTTTACTATTGGCAGCAATAAGGAGAATTCTTCCTCCTCATTACCCAAGTTTTGGTTGGGAAAATAGAATACTTTTATTATCCTACATATATTTCTATAAGTATTCATTATAATGTATACAAATGTATGTACATTCCCACACTGTGATTCACGTATACAGATTAATTGTTGACTGACTTAAACCCAGTATCTTATGAACGTTAAGCCTTTCTAATTACCACGAATATTAAGCTGTCTCTGTATTCTTATTGGCCTCTTGGGTCATAGTAGCCAGAAATTTTACAACATAGAATCATTGGACGAACACTCACATAAAAATGCAGAGTGTCATCAGATAATATCTTTTTCCTTATTGGCGGAGCTAGTAAAATCAACATTTTCTTTACGCATGTTCTCTGTAAGTTCTGCCTCAGTTGAATCTCAGTATTACGTAAAGATAAGGTAGTTCTACTCAAATTTTGGTCCATCCACAAGTGAAGATCGTCAAGTGTTGAGTATAATTTATAGTCCACTTCAGTTTTATACGTGTTGTAGAACACATAATTTTTCTAAGTACATCATTGTAGACAGTAAGTAGTTAGTTTATCCACAGACAGTAAGTAGTAAGTTTATCCATAAGTGAAGATCGTCAAGTGTTGAGAATAATTTGTAGTCCATTTGAGTTTTGTACGTGTTGTAGAATAGACTCATTTTTCTAAGTACATCCTTGTAGACAGTAAGTAGTTAGTGTATCCATAGACAGTAAGTAGTTAGTTTATCCATAAGTGAAGATCGTCAAGTGTTGAGAATGATTTGTAGTCCATTTGAGTTTTGTACGTGTTGTAGAATAGACTCATTTTTCTAAGTACATCCTTGTAGACAGTGAGTAGTTAGTGTATCCATAGACAGTAAGTACTTAGTTTATCCATAGACAGTAAGTAGTTAGTTTATCCATAAGTGAAGATCGTCAAGTGTTGAGAATAATTTGTAGTCCATTTGAGTTTTGTACGTGTTGTAGAATAGACTCATTTTTCTAAGTACATTCTTGTAGACAGTAAGTAGTTAGTGTATCCATAGACAGTAAGTACTTAGTTTATCCATAGACAGTAAGTAGTTAGTTTATCCATAAGTGAAGATCGTCAAATGTTGAGAATAATTTGTAGTCCGTTTGAGTTTTATACGTGTTGTAGAACTTGAGTATGACTGCTGTCTTAGGTTTAATAAAAAATAAAATATAAAACAGCAGATAGGTACAATGATTACTAAATATAAATATTCTAGTAGTATCAGGCAGGTGGTAGCACTGTCTATGTAAAGATGGCTCGGATTGTTCATCGAAATGGTATTTTAAATATCTCCTCAGAACTTTACAATACTATATAGTGTCTCCTTTTATAACAATATCTATGTAATAACTGAGTCACAAGTTCTGGGAATGTCTGTAAATATTATAGCAAAATGTTTGAATTTCAGGTTCTTCTTTCTTCTGCTTCTTTTTTTTACATGATAACTCAAAAACCAAAAAATAGTGTTAACCAGTTTCACTGAGGTGCCATAGTTTCAAACAGAGTATCCGCTTTTATAAGCATTATTAATACCTAGTAGTAATTTAAGAAATCATAATTCTAGTGTAAACAATGTTATCATTACCGCTTGAAGCTAGCTTTCTTACAGAAATTTTTCGTTCCTTTAAAAATCTTAAGTACAGGGTGTAACAGGAATTACCAGCCAATAATAGATAAACAATGAATATTACAGTTGGAACCTCATTGTATTTGGAACTTGATTATAAATACAACCTTCCTATGTCTATTGAAACACTGCATTAAAAGAACAAGTAAAGAAAAAAACTTTTCAAAAAAGGAAGTAAATGTAGGGATGGTTAATATCAATCCTTCAAAAACAATGCAAACAAGATAATGGGGGTGTCATTTGCATCATCATCCTTACATAATAGCACAGGCAAAAATTAAAATATGGCAACATATATAAATATTCCATCAAAATTGAGTTCAATTTGTCCTATTTATGTCTGTTAACATTCTACTACACTGTGTACCTGTGCCCTGTGCTATTATGTAGGGATGGTGCAAATGACACC